ATGTTCAGCCTGCGTGGTGGATACTGAAATCGTGGTGAACTCCAGGTCCGAATGTTGAACTGTGACACTGGGTGACACTGGATACTGAGCTTGAGCTTGACTTGGTGTTGGAACTGCTATCTCAGAATACACAGGAGCTACAACCTCCTTAGGCAGCTCTGGAGGCTGAGTTGGGGTCTCCTGCATGGTTGGAGAACGTTTTATCTCTGTAGTGTGTTCTGAAGTTACAGTAAATTCCTGGTCCAAAGATTTAACTGTGACTTCATTCAAGTTCGGTCGCCGAGTCTGAATCTGGCCTGGATGTGGAAGTGTCACCTCAGAATGCTTTGAAGAAGGAGCTGTAGAATGTTCAACCTCTGCAGTGGACACTGGAGTTACGGTAAGCCCCAGGACCAAAGGTTTAACTGTGACACTGGGTGACACTGGATGCTAAGCTTGATTCTGACCTGGTGTTGAAACTGTCATCTCATAATTCACAGGAGTTTGAGCTGCAGCCCCCTAAGGTGGCTCTGGAGGCTGAGTTGGAGTCTCCCGCATGGTTGGAGAAGATTCAACCTCCATTCAACCTCTGGAGTTAAGGTAACTTCCAGATCAAAACTGTAACTGAACTGTAACTTCAGTCAGGTTTGTATGCTGAGCCTGAACCTGCTCCGGGGGTGGAAATGTCACCTTATGGTGCTTTGGAGGAGCTGTAGTCTTCTTCAGGCCTATAGAATGTTGAGCCTCCATAGTGGGTTCAGGAGTCATGGTAAATGCTAGGTCTAAAGGCTGAACTGTGACACTGGGCGATGCTAAATGCTGAGCTTGATCCTGACATAGCATTGGAAGTGTCACCTCTTGATACACTGGACGTTGAAATACAACTTACTTAAGTGGCTTTGGAAGATGAGCTGGAGTCTCCTGCATCACTGGAGAAAGTTCAACATCTGTAGTGGGTTCTGGAGTGATGGCAAGCTCGAGGTCCAAATGTTGAAGTGTGACAGTGGGCAATGTTGGATACTGGGCTTGAGCAACATCCTTAGGTGAATCTGGAGGTTGAGTTGGGGTCTCTTGATTGGTTGAAGAACGTTCAACCTCCATAGTGGATTCTGGAGATATGGTCAGCTCTAGGTCCAAAGGTTAAAGTGTGACAGTGGGCAATGTTGGATACTGGGCTTGATCCTGACCTGGTGTTGGAAGTCACCTCCTCAGATATTGGGGGTTGAGCTACAACAACTTCCTTAGGTGTCTCTGGAGATTGAGCTGCAGTCTCCTGCAGGACTGAAGAGACTTCAACCTCTGTAGTGGGCTCTGGAGTTATGCTCAGCTCCAGGTCCAAAGGTTGAACTGTGACAGTGGGCAATGTTGGATACTGGGCTAGACCCTGACCTGGTGTTGGAAGTTCACCTCCTGAGATATTGGGGGTTGAGCTACAACAACTTCCTTAGGTGTCTCTGGAGGTTGAGTTGCGGTCTCTAGGCTGGTTGGAGAAAGTTCAACCTCCATAGTGGATTCTGGAGTTATGGTCAGCACTAGGTCCAAAGGTTGAAGTGTGTCAGTGGGAAATGTTGGATACTGGGCTTGATCCTGACCTGGTGTTGGAAGTCAGTCTCCTCAGATATTGGGCGTTGAGCTACAACAACTTTCTTAGGTGTCTCTAGAGGTTGATCTGGGGTCTCCTACATGATTGAAGAAAGTTTGAGCTCTATAGTGCGTTCCGGAGTCATGGGAAACCACAGGTCAAAAAGTTGAACTCTGAAAGTGAGCAGTGTTGTATACTGGGCTTGATCCTGACCTAGTGATGAAACTGTCATCTCATAATTCACTGAAGGTTGAGAACTTAGAGATCTCTGAAGGATGAGCTGGAAATTCATGATGACGTGGGGACGGTCTTACGTATTCTGTGGACTTTGGAGGACGGCCCAAGGCTTCCTGCTGGCTCCAAGATGGTTCGACCTCCTTAGGGGATGCAGGAGGCTCAGCTGGGACCTCCTGATGGACTGGAGAACATACTAACTCCTTACGGGGATGTGGAGACTGAGCTGTGGCTTCTCGCTGGGCTAGAGAAGATTCAAACGTTTCCGGGGGATACTGAAGTGGGGAAAAGGGATGGAACTGTGTTGCAGAAAATTCAGCCTGTTCAGTGAAAACTGTAGACTGACCAGTGCCCTCGCACTGTACTGGGTAAGGCTCGGCATTTGTAGTGGGCTCTGCTGTAGTTATGGTAATCTCCAAAACCACATGTTTAACTGGTTTCAGGCAACACTAAATGAACTCTGAAAATCATTGAAAGATCTAGCGGTGAAAATGTCATTACATCACCAGTTGGACTAAACACTGTATGGGATGCTGGAGGCTGAGTTGTGGGCTGTTGCTGGCATGGTGAAGGTCCAACACCCACTGGGGGCTCTTGAGGTAATGCTGAGTTTCCTGCTGGTTTGGAGATGGTTCCTCAAGAGCTCTGCAGGATGAGTTGGGAGCCCTCGATGGATTGGAGAATGTTGATCCTTTTCAGGGAAGTTTGGCTGCTGAATTACAACCTCTTCTTGACCTTTCAAAG